CATGGAGCGTGCCTGTCAATCCTGGAATGCCATTGGGATGTTGGTCAGTTCTGACGATTGGTGGGTTCCATCTGCCTGGCCTTTGTATCAATCGGGCTCTGGAACTCGTTCCACAAGGTGGCGCGAAATGCACAAAAATGCACTGTGGGGATGAAATTAATTGCTGTACAAGAGCGACATGATCACTTTTGAGCAAGTCATACTTAATTATGGGGCTGCGTAGCTGAGATGGGAGCTTGCAATCCACTCCGAAGCTATCTTTCATCCCCATGGCACGTAAAGAGGCAGTCAGGCGCCCCGTGCCGGCATAGATCTCTATACAGTAAAACTCTTTGAGCGAACGCCCCTGTTCCAACTGCGGGCTTTTGCTTCGAAATGCTGGAGCAGGTTGACGGACGGTTGGGGTGTCCGCTTGTATATGTCACTTGTGCGACTGCATACTGTGAGGCTTGTGACAGCCCGGCTCTGAACATAGATGAAGACCTCTCGAACACTTTCCACCTGCTGCTGCCTCATTGCACCCTTTTTCCAAATTCCATGCCCAACAAAGCCTCTCTCCTGAGGGAGTCTGCAAAGACTTGCCGATCAGTCCTCTCGGGATGTTCGGACCCCGCCCTTTCTTGTTCTTTCCACGTCCTTTTCCTTTTCCTTTGTTTGGGTTCGTCTTGGTGGCTGGCGCATCTGCCTTCGGAGGAGTGCGTGAGCGATCTCTTTTGGGTTTCTGAGGTCCTTGTGTGCTAACTGGTTTGGCAGGCAATGGCAACAGGTGGAATGTCACGGAAGGATGTGCAAGAGCTTTTTGAATCTCAACCTCCAGCGGCAGGTCTCCTTGTCCATCTCGTTTGAGGCTGCTGATTTTCTCGGCCATCATGACCCATGCCGCTCTGTCGGCTCTCAGGATCTGTGCCAGGCTGACTGAACTGTAACCAGGTGGTGGCGCCTGGTGGATGTGCTCAAACAACTCAGAGTGATAAGTGTTCATGGAATGGAATCCACACGCCTTCACAAGATCGAATGCAAGGGCTCGTCTGCGAAATGCATTCACTGTCTCAAGTTCAGTGCTGGTGCTACACAACAACTCCTGTTGTTTGTCCTTCACGATCAAAGCTGACTGGTCAATTGATATCTCCTTGCTGGGCTTCTTCTGCATCAGCTCTTGTCTTCGGGTAGGAAATTTCTCTGGCCCCAAATACAGAAGCGAATCTTTCTCAAGCATGCTAAGCACCAGATCGTAGCTGGAGTGGCTGCACTCTTCCTCTCCTTTGAGACGTAAGCCCTCAAGCTTCGTCCTCTGGTCCTTGATGCGGTTGTCACGTTCTGCAGGCGCCATTTTGGCTTTTGTCTGTTCATCAGCTCGATGCACCTTGTTCTGGAGTTCCGCAGAGAGCAGTGTCTGTGCTTCAAAAATCAGCCTTTTGATTGACGAATAGGTCCCTTGATTGATCGGGATCTTGTTTGCAAACAGCTGATCTATCTGCTCGTTCGTAGGTGCTTCTCCAGGGGGGCAACATGCAAATGCCAATCTGGCCAGCGAATCTACACGATTGTCAATCAGCACTTCTATCTCCTCATTGGTCAAATTGACCTCTAGTCCGCGGGACTTCAGTGCCTCCTTTGATTCAAGAAGCGTGCCCATGGTCGCGGTCTGGTTTGAAACAAGAGGAAAAATTGTGTCATGAAAAATTACTCAAGCTTGAGTTAAACTGAATGAAAGCAAAGATGATTATCATGTCATGTTGGATTATGGTTGCCACTCGGCTTTCATGAACCAAATGCTGCGGGCGGATGACATTCCCACTCGGGAAATTTCACTCAATCAACTTGCTCCACTTGGAGGCAGCATGTTATCATTGACATGTCATGCTGTGGTGATGATCTGTCAGACTTCAGGAACTCAGACGCCACTTCGCGCTGCTCTTTTACCGCTTTCGCAACTTCTCAAGTGCTGCGGCAACTTGGCCGGCAGTCTTCAGCGGCTTTGCCAACGCACAACGTTTGCACTTCCTGATGTCGAGAAATTGAGTTTCAGATATCATTTCGAAGTCTTCACTGATTTTCACACCACAGCTGAAATTCTCTGCACCACCCGAAGCCACAACATGGACGATCTTGCTTTTCTTGTTCCTATACATGTCAATGTCTGGGTCCCACCTCCTGGGGGCGGAGACTTCATCATGCACCTCAGGTTCTACTGAGGCGTCACTGCTGCCGGATGCATCGGAAGTGTCATCGGATGATGAGCTTTCAGAATCGGCATCAGCGTCTTGCAGCTTGGCACGATAGGTGTCTTTCGGGTCATCAGCCCCGGGCGTGCCCACCATGCCTGATCGAGTGGCGTCGGGCACGAAGGCTTTGGTGCGGATCTGCTGCAGCACCAGGTCAAAATCCCTGAGTGGCTTTGCAAGGTTGTCACGCCCATAGCACTCTGCTGAGCTCTTACCTGTCTTATGGTGTCCCAAAATGAGACGCACATCTGGGTCCAGACCCCACTTGGCACACCAAGACAAAGGTGTGCTTTTGAGAGAATGAGCGGAGCTATGCAGGTCACTCTTCGCTTGGTTGCTAAGGAGTTTTCTCAGCCACTTTCCAGCTTCTGTTGTTGTCACTGAACGATTGGACCATGTTCCGTCCGGCTTTGGCGCCAAAAGCATTGGTTGATGGTCTATGCTCTCAGTGGGCCGTCCTGACAGTGCAAAGAGTCTGGAAAAGCTCATTCCCCAGGGTGGCGACGTGACCCCCCAGACCGGGGCGATGAGAGGCATTGCCATGCCACTCCTTGAAACAAGCCTCGCCGTCTTGTGGGAGCGTGTACGGCACTCCAGGTAGCCGGCAATCCTGCCCTCTCTCTCACTGATGTCTTCAATGAAGCCATAGACACGTCTGAGATCCGACCACCTGCTTCTGCTGTAGAAACAAAACAAAAGAGTTCCACAAGCCACCCTGTCAACAAGATCCAGTTTCTCGTCGTTGAGGCATCGTTCCAGAATTTCCACCTCAGCTACGGTGAGGACCCTGGACTGCGTCTTTTCTCGTCTTTTAGAATCCTCAACATCAAGCATGCGCTGTACTTTCACTGAGATGATCTGGTTGCCGTCACATGCCACATTCATGCCCAGCACATGTTGACAGAAAACAAGAGATTCAACAAAACCGTGGAAGGCGGATGCAGGTCTGTTGGTCTGCACCATGAAAAGTACATATTCCTCCACCGCTTCTGGCGTTACTGGGAACGGACACAGTTGGAAAAATTTCGACTTGTACCAGTTTACGAACTGCAACATTGAAGACCCTCTCCTAAGAATGGTGTTGGCGCTTCTGTTTCCGAAAACCAGTTTCATGTCTTCCAGCCGATGGAGTCTGACTGCATTCCTCAAGTCAAATCCTCGAGGCCAAGCGTCTTCGCCTGTTGCAAAGACTACGTACCATTTCTCTAAAGCCTGCCTGAGCTGCTTTTCTTCCAACTCATTTTCGGATAGGTCCATCTTGAAATTGATCACCTCCCCGTAGTAGCCTCTTGTGACTTTATCACTGGGAAGAGGCACGCTAGGAGAGCTCGTTGCTGGTGACACAACCGGCTCTATCAGCTGCAAAACTGGTTTAGGCAGGCTAAACGATCTTTTCCTGTTGAGAATGTTCGAAATTCCGGGTCGGTCCCAAGGCATTACAAATTTAAAAGATGGAGGAGTACTCAGGCAGCTATCCTCTATCATTGATTTCAAATTTGCGGCAGACTTCCTGTCTAGTTCACGGAAAGGCGGATGCACCGGATGCTTCTCTGGATGGTCGCACTGCTCGTGTGTTACTGAGGGGCTATACCCTCCATCGGACCAGAGCCCAGGTTCATTCACGCTTTCCAAACCGGTGAAGTCTAATTCGTCAGGCAATGGCAGGTGGACTGTCTCTGAATTGACTGATTCCTCACCGTCTTGGTCAACTCTAGGCTTTTTGAACCTGGACATCACAAAGGTCCCAGGACGTGCTCAGGAGACCGCCTCCACTTTGTTCGTCCTCCAGCGAAGAAACTCGCACAGTCATGCTACTGATTTTCCATCTCAACTTCGCAATCCGAAAATTTGAATATGCAAATCAGCAAAGAAAAACATTTCGTAGATTGAGGCATATCTGAGTTCAGGCACGTTCCAGAAAAGTCAAATCGGAACTCGCTTCACCTTAATCACATCTACCAGTCATATCTATACGTGGTAAATGAGGTCTTGATTTGACTGAGAGTTGATCTAGCTAGGAAATCTGGATAACGAGACATGTCAAATGCCGGTGTAGCTCACTGCCAGCACTTGCTGAGAGCCTTACACCGTTCGAAGTACTCAAGATTGCCAATTCACTGATGAATGGTGTTCCTGCGTCGTCCACTCAGACGATTATGCATGTCTCTTGACAGGTGCTTGTGATGTCTCACTTGAGACTTCACGCAGACCCGTGCCTTCTCCTCAATAGGCTCCAGATCCTGGACCAATAATCAGAAACGAACACTGTCACACTGGGCAAACCAGGCGATCAAAGAATGAAGAGTGTCACTTGACACTGATCTGACCAGTTTCACTTGAAACTAATGCCAGGTCGTGCCTTCAATCTGTTCGGAGATCTCAGCAGTCCTGACATCCGATGAAAGGGAAAACTCGACACACTTGTGCCATTTCATATGAGTGTTAACATTCATCTGCTGACAAAATTTCTCACCAACGCGTGTCCTCGCCGGGATAAGGTCACTCGACCCCGCCCCGACCGCCCAAATGGCATCGTTCTGGCTCACTTGAGCACTCACGAATCAAACATTCATGACCACATCTGAGAATCACGCATGCTGTCAACACATTGAATGTCAAGCTGCTGTATGAGGCTCTGAATGTTTCTGAAATGGAAATTTCAAATGCTGCGACATGACCCCCGAAAAAAAGCATTTGTTTTAAACTCAACGCATGATCGGCAGGCGAACCCAAAAACCGTCTTGAAAAGTCTGAAGCGACAGATTGACCTTAGTCTGCGTCGGCATTGTCCATGGCGTCATCGTCGCGGACGTGAGGTGGGGCCACCAAACCCACCAAAGGAGCCAGGTCTTCATGCGCAGCTGCTAAATTCTCAAGCGCCTGCCCAAAGGTGCGTCGAAGCAGGCGCACCTCCGTTTTTAAGATGGCCACTTCATCGCGAAGGTGACAAAGGCTCCTGTGCATGCGGCCCAACACCTCCACTGCCTCTGTTGGAGGAAGGCAGTGCAATTCCACGTGCGTGAGGATGCGATCAGCTGGAGGTCCTCCACCAAGATGAATGACCCAATTGCGTGCTCTGGCGTGGTGACATACGGCGATGAACAACTCTCTGTCACAAACCATGAGATGGAGCCGCTTGGTTTCATCAAGGGGCGTATCCCAGGCCACCCATTTTGAGTCGGCAGCCTCTAAAGCAGGACACACAAACTGTTGGAGGGATGTGTGCATAGGAAGCACGTATCCGTTGATATCGCATTCCGTTGTGCCTAAACCCAGATGGGGTAAAAGGCTGTCTGCCGTAAACTCCGGGTCTTCCGGCTGTGTTGAGTGATAGACCCTCAGTGAGGCTTGGTCAGCAGGTAAATGAACAGATGTCATTCAGTCCGAAATCCACCACCAGAAGACGCACACGCAGGTGAGGAAGCCGGTGAAATAGCACAAGCCAAACCAGAGACCCGGATGGGTAGAGATCACGGCAGGTTGCAGCTGTATAGGCGAGGTTGATGCAATGCGGCCCTTGACTATGGCTGATCGAGGGCGCATACGAAGAAAATTGTTGTCTTGAAATGTGACATGTAACAATCTGACATGTGTTATGACATTTCAAGAAAAGTTGCATGTGTCGACTGAACGATGTTTCGTGAAAATTGACACATGAATGACGGAACACTTGTTCCAGCTTCACTTGAAGCTTCAAACCAAAATTTGCGAGGTGCCAAGCAGGGTGAACGAAATCAGACTGAAAAGAGTGGTCAGCACATTCGATCAAATCTCATTCTCATGTCAAGTCTTTCAAATAATGATTTATCATGTTCCATGAGAAGATCCATATTATATTTAGATTCGAAACCACATACTGTCTGCGCGTAGCATGTTGATTGCTGGTTATTGTTTAGTTTATTATATATGAACGCACAGATAAGTGAGATTGATTATTACTGATGTTGTTTGTCAACTCAACTGAGGCATTGCATCACAAGAAGTCAGCTGGCTCACACTCTTTTTGACTGGGGGTCGTAACATCTGGCTGAACGGTTGGGCTAGGCTAAGTGAACATCCTTTGATGTACTTGGTTTCGTCCAGCGAAGAGGAACTTTATGACTGTCTCAAGTTGGGTGGTTTGTGGGTGGGCGCTTGAGACAGGGATGAAACAAAGCTGTCCCTACCGCACCCACCCTTGAAAGTTGATGGCCACAAGAAAGAAGATGATGTCAATGCCCACAAATGCTCCATTTGTTTTCTGTTTCGTTTTGACAATTCGATGACTGCGTCAGCTTCATCGTCAACTCAACTGAGGCATTGCATCACAAGAAGTCAGCTGGCTCACACTCTTTTTGACTGGGGGTCGTAACATCTGGCTTCCCCCTTTTTAAATGTTGCAGACCACCAGCTCTGATTTCCAGCAAAATCTTCTGGAGTTTCTCAACCGCATTCACTGACGCATCAAGCCCGGGTTCCAACAAGTAGTGTGCTTGTCTTCTTGATGGAAAGTCGCTGACATTAGCCTCTGTTGGGACACGTGCAAACCATGTCCGAAAGCACTTTCTGGTTTCCAACTGCAAGTAGTAGCCCATCAAACTTTGGGCCACTTCACCAGCACCACACGCTCTGATGAGGGAAAAACGCACCCCATCATTGTCACCAAAATGCACGTGGAGGTCCGTGCTACTGTCTTCATACCAAAGGTCCGTCGCCACCACCGTTGCTAAAAGCTCCAGCTCGTAGATTATTGTTCCCTTCTCTGCAGCTCCAAGTTGTTTGCACATGTCGCAGTCGACAAATGCACTGAACCACGAACAAACTGTTCCGCTCTCATCCACCAGCACACCTCCCAAGCAACCAAAACTTTGTTCAGATTCAAAACTCGCATCTGTATACATGTACCATTGTTTGCATTGCTCAGCTGTAACCAAGCGGGGCCCAGCATGTCTTAAACGTTGCGCCATTGCTTTAAGGGCCAGTCTCAGATCATCATCCAAACGTCGGGTGGACCCATAAGCATGGTCCGACAGTCTTTTCAAAACCAATTTTCCCAACCTCCCGTGAATAAAACTGTCAGCAAAACCAAGACGTCCACGTAAAGCCAGGCATGTCTGTTTGTCCAACACGCCCGAGGAGAGCGCAGAAGTGATTTGTTGAATCAGCTCCTCTTTTCGCGACTCAGTGTTGTTGACCTGCAGGATACGCTGGTGCGAGGCGCTGAAGTCAAAAGCGACCCCAAGCGCTTTGCAAATTGTTCCAAACTCAGTTGCTTTGCGACCATCCACAGCGTAGTCCCATCCAGTCAAAAGGAAAAGCATTTCCATACTGTTCTTTCCCGATTCCCTGAGACAAGGTTGTGAAGCCAGGACAAAATCATCATAGAAATTGGTTGTTAGCAGCAGGAGACCAGTTGCTGCTATCGCATGCAAAGCCTTTGCCAACCAGAGAAAATTGTAAACACTGTGAGTTGCCCCAAAAGGCATGGTTTTCATCATGTAAACTTCAGCACAGTCCCTTTCACAGTTGTAAACGCTCACAAAGGCGTATTTGTAATGGGCTGGATGGACAGGGACTTGACGATATGCACTCTTGAGGTCATAGGTCTTTGCGACCAAACTGCAATCCTTGCCAATGGCTCCACAGCCCAAGAAAAAACTTCTCACCAAAGCACAAAAGGTATCAATGATATGAAGATCCAGTTTGTTGTTTATAACACAGCTGTCGTTGACCCCACTGATGCTGTAATCGTCTATCATTCTTGTTTTGCTACCTTGTATCAGCGGGAAGCGACGTGAGATGACCGATCCAGCAGCCACACTTTCAAAAGGAATAGGGCCTTCCGCCCAGCCCTTCTCCACTTCTAAACGCGTCTCTTCAAGCAGCTGTCTGTCTGTTTCCTCGGAGCCAGAACTTTTTGTCATGTTCATGATGACCTCGTTTCGCTTTCCGGCATCCACCTCCAACTGAGAAAGAGTCGCCAGGCAAGGCTTGAACTGCGACTCAAAGATAGGGGAGGAGGCAATCTCCCCAGCCAAACTTGCTCCTTCAGTTAAAATGTCAACCACCTGACAATCTTTGTACCCAATGTCTTCCAGCATCTCACGCATGAGCAGGGTTCTCTTTCCTGCAGTCAAGGCGGCAACATTGGGGTGTCTTGTAAGCAGGGACTGTTGCTCTTTGGCTTCCAGTTCAGCCGCACGTTTCATCCACCTTCGACACCAGTCAATGCGGTATCTTGCGATCTGTTCTTCTGACCACTGCACGTTGACTCTGACCGTCTCCAACAATTCATCTGGAAACCCAGAAGTTTTCAAAGCTGGGTGTCCCACATGACAAGCTTTCTTGATGAACTCCTCATAGGACCATGGCAAACCAAAAGCCACCTCGTACTGAAAATTTGTATGCCCCCTTGACTCACCCCCTTCCAATGGGGCAGACAATGCAGTAAATCGCAAAAAACGACTGTACTTTGGAACTACCTGCAAAACACCAGTTTTTGTATGCAAGTGGACGTCAGTGGGGAGCTTTGACAACAAACTACATGGCACATCCGCAAGAGTGTGGACAAGAAAAACTGCCACACTGGAGAAGTCGGGCACTATTGGAAGAACCCTTGACGGTCTGGGCTGTTGTTGAGCGCCAATTTGCGCTTGTTGCATAGTCAACAAAGGATTTGTATCATCCAACAGCGAATGCGCACGTAGTTGAAGACCTCTTTCAGCCGCAAACTGTAAAACAACATTGATTAATGCCACACACATCTTCCTTGGATATTGAGACTCCAGGGAGGTTGCCCATACTTGCTTTCCAGTGTCATCCTTGGCAAACCCCCAAGGCAAGTGAGTGTGGCTGTGGTCACACTTGATATTCAAAGATTGAACTGCCGGAAAATTTGCAATGATCCTCGTCCACTTGTCTCGACTGCCACCCAACATGCAAACCTGAAAATCGGCAACATACACCTCCACTTGCAGCATCAACTGTAGGACCCAACATGTAATCCAGAAATAACTGTTCCTCGGATTTTCCATGGTCGCCAGAATTCCCATTTGGGAGGCCAGCAAAAAGAGAAAGCATGCATATTGAAAAAGGTTGTTTGCGATACCAACTCTGCGCTTGTCAGTTTCAGAAAGGTCAGGGCGTCCCTCTGGACATTCATTTGAACGCAAGGGCTTGGGATCGTTTGCAAACCTTCTGATATCTCTGGCTCTGCTTGCAGTTCCACAAACAGGTGCCAGGTGTATCCATAAAAGTAATGGTGATACCATCCATTGCTCCAAGATCTCTCTGTCACGCTGTTTCAGTAAATCAAGTTGGAAAATTGATGAACGACATGATCTCTTACGAATCTTGTCCACCGCGATAGAATTTGCAAGGCCAGCTGATTTGCTCGTTGCACAAAGTACTGCCATGCCTGCAAATATTTCTAACATGAAACACTGCTCAACATGCACATTGGACCAATCTCTATAGGCAATGGATTTGGAAAGCTGTCATTTCGACGCATGCTGCTGTAAACTGTGCTCGCCCTGACATCGAGGTTCAGCACAAACGTGAAATCCTTTGGAACAACGTTGTCCAGGCTGAATCCCTTTCTCGGCACAGCCACTACGGCAGTTGAAACCAAAACATATTGGATCCCCCGAAGGGGTCTTGTGCCACTTCCCCCTCAATTCAGAGGGGATTGGCGGTGAGCTCTTCTGCTTTGACTTGCTCTTTCCACCTCCCTTTCCTTTGGCTGTTTGCCCTCCAGAACTGTATGGATGTGCCCGTGGTCCTTGATGGCTGGATGCAGTCGAAGTGGAAGACTGCTTAGCTGAGGGCATCAGGTACAAGGCAATATGAGGATCCGACCTGAGATTGAGGAGCTCTTCACCAAGAGGATACGAACCATCACCACGCTGTCGAATGGACGTCATCGTGCTCCCCAATCGACTAAAGGCCGCTTTGTCGCACTGAACGATCTGGAGCAAGGAAGGCCGAGTAAATCCTGGAGGTGTTTCACGATGAACCGCCTCAAAAAGGAACTTCTCCCATTGGGAATGCTGAGAGAAACTCATGAGCTTGGCAAACTCAAAAGCCAAGCCCCTGCGCACCATCGCATAGTGCAATTTGATCTCTGAATCAGTTGGGCTATTCAAACGGTCATCAGAGTTCCTCAGGATTAGGGACCCACGCTCCAAGGTCAGTTCACGGTTCTTTTTCTCTGACCCTTGAACTTCGAATGACCTGGATATGCATGCTGACGGCTCCACATACTTGATGCTGTTCTGCTCAAACATTGCACAGCACTTGTCTAATAAGCTATGTGCAGGCTCGTGCTCCCCAGAGATATCCAGTCCTCCCAGAGCTGCTTTCAAGGCATCCATTCTGGTCGATCGCTCAGCCATTGGCACTTTGCGCGGCACCGCGTCTTCTGATCTGTCAACTGCCTGTCTCAGTGTTGCAGTCAAGTATGTCTGCGCCTCGAATGCCAATCTTTTCAAGCAAGCAGCCTCTGTGAGGCTTGGAGCACGGCCTACAGCGGCTTGTACCAATGCTTCAACGCTCTGATCCAAGATGGGTTGTCCAGGCTGACCCACAGAGAATGCAAGCTGTGATAGGGTTCGTACCCCATGCTGTTTGAGCCCATCAAGCAATGTCTGTTGTATGCCCAGCTCCCGCATCTGCGACTCAAATTGAGCAGTGCTATCTATCAAGGAAGACATGGCTGCAAATTCCAGTCTCCCTAGGTGAAAACAAGTGGAAAAACAAAGGAACAGCAAAACTCAAACGCACAGAACTTAAAACCTGAATCGCACATCACATGCACATTGTCCTCAACAAGTTCCTGTGTCAGATTCCTAAGTCAAGTAAATCAAGTCTCAATGAGTGCAAGCACAACAACTAATAAATCTGAACTTCTGCTTGTGTGTGAGATGCTCGGACTTCTCCTGTGTGCTGACGCGGCTCTTTAGCCAAAAGGTTCTGATGCATCTCACTCATTGAACAAGCCAGCTATCTGGTCAATGAATTCAAACTGAAACTCCTTTGATGTGCCGTTGCACAAAACTTGCCAGCTCTCTGGAAACACTGTTTATGTTCAAGACGGCTTTCCGCTTGAAATTCCACCTCTTGCAAATCAGCCTTTGCTGCAATTTTTCTCAAGGTTCGGACGCTGCAAGTCATCCCCTTTGGGAAAGCAACAACTTTCTTTAGCTGTGAGAGGCTGAGTTTCTGGCCCTTTTGACAGAAGCGTCAAGTGCACTCGCCAACGCATCGACACTCCGAATCCTATTGTTATCCTTTGGAAAACACCTGAGACACTTGGGGTATCTAAAAGTGAAACTTCTGCCAAGTTTTCGGAAATTTGCATTCATGCTGAGCTTACATTTGCTCACAGACTCACTCAGCTTGCACGCATGCAAAATGCCGCTTTTGGCATGACGATAAAAATCAAAATCTTCTGGCACATGCTCAATGAAGCTTGGCTGATCTTTCTGAGGTTCCAGCTCTGTGGTGCTGGAAGAATCACTGGTTGAACTGTCGCTGTCACTTCCAGATGACGATTCAATTTCAACGACACCAGAACTGACAACATCTACTGGGTAAAGTGTGAGCTCACTAGCTGCTGCTTCAACCGTCTGCACATCAAACTGCTCTTCTTTGACACTCTGCAGGTCCTCACAGTCCATGGCCAACTTGACAGCATTCGACACCCCTGAGTTGTCGACTTCACCTTGCTCAACTGGCTTCGCCAGAATGACCTGTTGTGGCACAGCGACAGGAGTCCTAGCAGCCGCTGCAGGAGTGAAAGGAAGAGGCGTTGAAACAATGCCAAACTCTTTCATGGCATCATCCTCAATTGCTTGACCCGTCCTCACACGCCTGAGGATCAAACTGAGTTTCCTGAGTGCCCTTGTTTGCAGCTGACGGCTATAAACCACTTCACTTCCACTCAACGCTGTGCAGTGATGTCCTAAAACAGCTCGTGTTTCTTTGTCAAGGCCAGCACGTGCACACCAAAGCAAAAGGCTCGCTTTCAAGGAGTGACTCCGAAAAGTTTCTGAGTTGCTAGTACCCTTCAGAAGCCCCCTCAGCCAAACTGCAGCCTCACTTGTAGTCAAGGGTCGAGCACAGAATGTCCCATCCAAACGTGGGGCTGGCAGAAGAGGCCCAAGTGGCTTCTGATTGATGTCAAGCCCACAACGGTGATAAATCTCCAGCCAGTTTCGTAGCCAAGAATCTGATGTCACCCCTTCCCAGGGAACTGCAATGGGAAGAAACTGTTGCCTCTTCAGTCCAACACTAGCAGTCTTATGCTCAGTTGTATACAGAGTCATAAAATCATCTCCTGTGAGGTCGGCATGGCTGACATACCGTAAGTCTGACCACCTTGCACGGCCATACAAGCAAACCAGAAATGCTCCTGCACCCAGTCTGTCCGTGATGTTCCCATCAGACTGTAGGATCTGATGCAATCTCCTCATGTGCTCAAGCTCCAAGCCTGGTGCCTGTTTCAAGGGGCCCTTCTCTCTTTGCTCGATTGCTGCAAACCCCAAAAGGCGGCGTGAGCACAAAATCGCATCTGTCCCATTGAGGTCAACTGTAAACTTGGCAAACCGCACTGATTCAAGGAATGATGTGGGAACTGTAAACCCTTTGGCTGAAGCAATACGTTGATCTCTCAACCAGTTGAAGTACAGCCAGACTGAGCTCTCGTCCAACGGCAGTGAACTCTTGTTCAACTCTTGACATGCCGGGTTCTTGTCAAACCATGCCATGTACTTTCTGAAGGCACTGGCACGCTTCAGCAAAGTTGCAGGGCTCTTTACCCCAAAACAAGACTTAAGGATTGTCACAGCTTCCACACCTGAATTGTCCTGCTGAAGTGCACTGACAAGTTGAGGACCGATGCCAGACGCACTCCAACATGTTGAAAGAATATTCAACCACTGCGCACATGCTAGCTCAAGTTTTTGATTCTTGTCCTCGAAGTAACTCATGTCCCGCATGCTCTTCACCGCATGAACATACTGAGCTTCATCAGGTAAAGCAAAAGCAGTTAATTTGGATTGCGAAACTTCTGGACCTTCAACTGAACTTGAATGTACAACTTCTGCAAGACCTGGGCACCTGGGAAGCGGGTCAGCATCGAAGTTGAAGACAGCCGCCATAGTGCCCGTCTCCCAAGGAAACTTCAAGTCACTTGGCAGCTCACGGAACTGTGAGAAGCTTCCAGCTACCAATTGATTCCAGGTTGAATTGCTGACCACTGGTCCACTAACGTCATGTTCAACAAGGTCAACTTCATCAGGAAATGCTAAATCATTTGCAGACTGAACTGAAGGCTCTGTAACATGAGTCCAGTCCCTTTCAGATTCAGCACGCTCCTGAAAACCAGTAAAATCAGCTTCATCCTCACCACTTCCAAAAAGATCGTTCAAACTGAAATTCAAAGCTCCGGGCTCAGCAACGACTGCAGGCTCTTGACCAACATCACGCCTAAAAAGTTGCTCAGTCCCAAGCAAATCCAACGCCCTGAAAGGTTCAGGATCAACATGTGAAATGTCATCTGTATGACCCAAATCATCTGCAACAGGACTGACACTGTACCCAGAGCTTACAACCTCTGCATCTTCAAATCCAGCGTTTCTTGAAACATCCTTAGCTCCTTGACTTTCCATGGGTAACCCCCCATCTACGCTTGAGACAGGGATGAAACAAAGCTGTCCCTACCGCACCCACCCTTGAAAGTTGATGGCCACAAGAAAGAAGATGATGTCAATGCCCGCAAATGCTCCATTTGTTTTCTGTTTCGTTTTGACAATTCGATGACTGCGTCAGCTTCATCATATTGGATTCGAAATAATGAAAGGTGCTCGTTATTAGAATGACTGCAGGTGATTGCAGGTAAATATATAAATATAAAAATAAATACATACATATATATATATATAAATATACATATACATATAGATAAATAGGTAGGCAGACAGTAGGTCAATAGGTTGGGGCGGGTCTGAACTTTTATATACTCAAAAGCGTATCATGTCGGCTGAAATTTGGAAAATTTTTGAAGACGCTGACTAACTATTATCACAGGGGTGTATGGAGCTCAAAGGGGCGCCTAGGTTTGTTACATGAAAGTGCGCTGTAACGAATGATTCAGAAATAGAAGAAGTCAAAATTACTGGATTATAAATGGAGGAAAGCATAACAAGAGCAAAAATTGATAAACACCAATGATGAAAAATGAAAAATGTATGGAAATGGAAATGGAAAAAATGGATGAAATATGGATGAATAATGGATGACAGTGGATGAAATTGGGTAAACATTGATGCTGAAAAGAAAAAAGGATGAAAAATGGATGGATACTGGATGGAAATGGAAATATAGAGCATGCGTGAAATGATTATATAAGAATTGATGAGCAGGGATTAAACAGAATTAAACTTGATGGGGGGAAACAATGAATAATGAATGGGAGTGGATAGAGATTATGGATATATATATATAAATATAACTATTTATAAATATAATGAATACATTACAGTCTTGCTGTGCCGGACCGAAACATAGAATGACCATTTGGAAACCGCTGAGGTATCCTGTAAAACAATGAGCGTTCCAGGGCAGTGTGGACAGATGCAACTGGGTGGAAGTGGAAAATTACTGGATTATACATGGAGGAAAGCATAACAAGAGCAAAAATTGATGAACACCAATGATGAAAAATGAAAAATGAATGGAAATGGATAAAAAAATGGATGAATAATGGATGACAGTGGATGAAATTGGATAAACATTGATGCAGAAAAGAAAAAAGGATGAAAAATGGATGGAAACTGGATGGAAATGGAAATATACGCATGCGTGAAATGACTATATAAGAATGGATGAGCAGGGATTAAACAGAATTAAACTTGATGTGGGAAAACAATGAATAATGGATGGGAAGTGGATAGAGATTATGGATGAAGCATGGATGAAGAACAGATGACAATGGATGAATATGGCTGGAAATTAGTGCAGAATGGATGAAGAATGGATGAAAAACGGCTGGAAAAATGCGTGGAAATGAATAACAAATGAAAAAAAAATGGATAGAAGATGTTCAAAAAAATCATTTTCGAAGGATTTTGGACTACCTTCCACAAAAAACAGCACTTGGGAGCCAAACTTGGAATGACGGGTACTTTTGCTATTGTGGCCAAATTGTTTTTGAAAATCAGCTGTGTGTCAGCTGTGCGCGAATACCCATTCTATGTTCCGTGTCCCAGACCTGTTTTGACTGACAGGCGCGGTGTTTCGTAACATTTCAGTTACTCATTCTAAGTTTTCCAAACGAAAACAAAAATCAAAAACGTGGGATTTTGGCCCCGCGCGTCGAAACGGCAACTTTTCGGATACCCCTGGCGATTTCCAAAAGGTCATTCTAAGTTTCAGTCCGTCGATATATACCTTTCCAACTTTTCCAACCCCAAAAAAGGGCACCAAACAAATCGAACAGTTCAGTTCAGTGACATCATCTTGCGCATCTTGCGGTTTCTTGCGGAGTCGTCTGGAGTCACAAAGTTGGAACTCTTTCAACCCTTTGCCCATTGTAAATGGGGTTTCAGCAGGTGTACCGACTCCGCCCGACTCCGGCAAGACTCCGCAGCTAAAGACATCAACAAACTGTGGTAAAACCGAAGTTTTGCATCTCCAGCCTTCTCACGGAATCTGCTGGAGTCATGAAATCGAAACTCTTCCCCCAATGTAAACAAAGGATTTATCCGGTTTTAAATACATACTATTATTCTTTAGCCGGATGATACTGAACTCCGGGCGACATACACAATCCGACCCGCAAAGTTGCCGCGTTAGGAGTCTAGGGGGGCGAAGGGGGGAACAACGCATCAAGAGACCAAAACAAAACTGAGCAGTGCGACGCCCAACGCAAACACAGAAAAAGCATCCCGCCAGCAATGTCGCAGCGGAATCAGCACCTCACCCACGCCATGTTGCGAAAGCCTGCGACAACAACACCCTAACAATTCCAAACAACATGGTGCTTTGAGGCAAAGACTGGCGATATGCAGGCGGGGCTAGAGACCTTCAATCAGCAACTGTGTTCCCCGGAATCCTGCCATTCCGTTACACTGCAAAAGTATTGCTTGGGTATGGCGATGTCTGTGATGTTTGTGTTTTCGGTTCTGCCTTTGCTTTACCTGCCATACCAATACAAGCGATGATACAAGGATATCACGCTTACTCATTACAGATGTTACATAACTGCCGGCCACTTTTCCCCTTCTTGGTTTGTTTTGTGCTGCGTGTTTTGGCTTGTTTTGTTTGTGTGTTTTTTCTTTGGTTTGGTTTTGTTTTTCGTTTTTGTTATGTGACGGAATTGTGACGGCACTTTGGACTATGTATCGGTCCACCACCAGTTTACTTTTGCGGCCACTCAATAAGCAGACGGCCATCTTTGCGTCAATTAATTAATTCACTCATCACTGCAACATGCAATCGAACGTGTTGAACGACCTGGCGAAAGCCAAGAGGCGTCGGACGGGGAAAAAAAAGTTGGTTGGCAAGACCCCCGGACCAGACACGAAGCTGGACTTTGACATCTACGACGTGAACATCGCAGACGTTTTGTTCGAGGGACTTGCAGGAGCTTCATTGCTTGAACACATCCTGCTTTGGTACCAATCGAAGGAGATGGACATTCCGTGGTTCATACAGGGTGATGCGGGCCAAGCTTAGGACTTTGATTCGATCACCTGCTTCCCGTGAGTTGCAAGAGACGTCTCAAGTTGTTTCAGGCAAGGAGTCTTGGAGTTGCGGTTGTCCTGACCAAGACATGAGAGCGGTGACTGGTTTTGATCCTCCAACATTCGACATATGGATTCCATGTGGACGGTACGGACGGAAAATGTCTACGGTTCACATATGACATAAGGACTATGGAAGTTGTCTAGCATTAAAGTAGATAAGTCGATATCTACTTTACGGTATGACTTGACAAATATGTTTTGGGCATTCGGGTCCGGAAGTTAGTTGGTGCCCTGGCACTGGTGGTGAAGATCTCCTCCCCCTCCTTCCCACATGCAGGTGAATGCATCTGCAAGTTCCGCACTCCTGACCATTCATTTCCTTTGATGGCCCTTGGATCAACAGGGCCGAGTCCTTCTATCGCTGCTACGTAGAGGATCCGACCAACGAAAATGTCATTGATGCCAAGACCCGTGGGGCTGCGGAAGGTTCGGATTCCACATGAGAAGACACCAGATGCAGTTCTTGAACGGGTAGTTCGATTGCTGAACTCTTTCCATGAAGGTTCAGCAGAGAACCACTTCGATGTCATGAGTGAAGCAGCTTGACACTCCCAGTAAACCATCCTGTTGTTGGATTCTTTGGTTGGTTGAGCATTGAGTGAGCAGTGGCACAGATCTTTTTTTCCCAGATCTAGGTGTAAGACCATAGGTCTAGAGGTTAGAGATCAATTTTGAATCGTCAGTCGTCATTCATTTGCTGGGGACTAAGGCACTCAACCTTGAAAGTGCCTGACGGGCCGACTGTTGTGTGTCGAAACTTAATTCGTATCATCCGCGTTGTCAAAGTGCGTATGAATGATTCGTCCTGACCAAGAGTGCGACCAGCTCCTTCAACAACTGCTTCAAGGCCAGAACCTTTTTACAATGCCGTGTCCTAGGCCACAACTCCAGAGTTTGCAAATTTATGACTGGCTGAAGGCATGGTCGAACAAGTATGTTGATTTCCTGAACCCCGAGTACAATTTGCAAAGTTGCATTGCACAGATGCACGCCATGACTGTGATCATTCAGACCAGCCAGAAACGGTTTGTGACAAAACCAAAGATTGCAATCATAGTGTTTTTGAAGCCTTAAAAAGTCTTGCGCTACTTGTTTGCCACTATGTCAGATGTCACATGTCAGTCATGTCAGTCTCAAATTCAACAATCAGTGAGCTTAAGATAGACTAGTCAATCCTGGCTTTTAGCTTTGTGACTTTGACTTTTGATTTGTCTCGTCCACTTACATGTCCCGGATTCTGAGTGTGTTCTGCATTCTATGGACTATGATGGACTATGGACTGTGACTATGGCCCATGGACCATTCGACCATTAGAGATTGAAATATAAAATTGGCAAATGGATGGCAGCGCAGTGGTGAAAAAGATGACCAAGGTGGATGCGAAATCAGCCGCCAACACTGGTGGGAAATTGGTCCTTCACCAGTTCACTTTTGTGGCCACTCAACCGCAGACGGCCTATGTATGCAATAATTATTTCCTTTCACATAAAAAACCACCAAAGTAAACCGCAACGCCATAAAAGGAGTAAAGACAAACAGCACACTACCCATTGCAGGTAGTTCGCAAACGTGCCATAAAACGGAAGTTCGAAACGCATTCGTAACGAAAACGCCGTATTCAAAAAATTCACATGCAAAAAACCGTAAAACACAAAGCACTCAGAAAACGACACATCAGCACAAACGACATGAAACGCACAAAGGTCCATTCTTTTTTCTCAGCAGAGTTGGAGCTTTTCGGCCATCCTCGTTCGGACCCATGGAGTAAGGGTGAAAAAGAAACCTGCATTCAGGTAAAAAAGAACCCATGACATTTCATGGGAAGACATAAGAGAAGAGGGTATGGGAGGGCGGGCAAATTT